GCAACTGGATTTATTGTACCTCTTTAATTTTAGACCCAAGGCATAAGACTCAGACTTTTGACATGACATTATGGGGGAAGCAAATTAAAACAGAAAGCCTGCGCAAATTTAATGAACTTTATAAAGAATATAAAAGTCTACACTCAGTGAATACATCTCTAGAATCACCAAGAAATGAAAAGAAAGTATGTGAATATGATGAAGATGAAGACGTAATAGACTTTGAGAAAGTGTATGCATGTCCCTCGACGTCATCTGGATCTGGATCTTTTCATCAAGGCTTAGTTATAGACGAGTTGGAGGAGTACCTAAGTAAACCCAGAGCCGCCAGTTCGGAAGACATTTTAGAGTGGTGGAGGACGCATGAGACAGAATATCCGACTTTATCGAAGATGGCCCGTGATTTTCTTTTAATACCTGCAACTTCAGTACCTGCTGAGAGATTATTTTCTAAAGCATCATTAGTAATTAGAAAACATAGAAATAAGTTAAGTGATGAGTCAGCCAGATGGTTACTCTGTATAAATTCTTGGTCAAAAGAATTAATCAAAAGAAAAAAAACGGTAATGTCAAAGCTGTTGTGTACTGTTATGTAATTTAATTTGTATTGTATTTTATTTTTTTATTTAAATAAATGGTAAATTGTATAACTCTTTTATTCCATTTCATATAAGGATCTATCAATATCTTTCTAGACAGATAATGTTCTTTATAATACAGTCAAGTTAATGTCATTAATTTGTTTTTTATATATTTTGACTAAGTTTTAGCACATGTAAGCTTATTAAATGTAAACGTTTATTAAGAAACAGACTAACTCCCGTGGCCGTGAAACTTGGTAGACAGTTGGTTAGAGAATCGGCACGGATCGCTTAGGTCGTGGGTTCAAACCCCACCCGCTATTAGTTGATTTTTCGAATTTCTCATTAAATATTTAGACATTTATTAATTTGGTTGGTCTTTCTATGGCTATGTTAATTCAAACTCAAAATGTGCCTACTCTGTTAAGTTGTTCTAAGATCTAAAGTAACGTTTAATAAATAACAATAGGCTAATAGGTAATTGCGAGACTTGCGAGGCTCTTGCTGCAAGACCAAGACCAAGAACAAGACTGAGAGCGCAATAGCAAGACCAAGAACAAGACCAGGTGTATTGGCGCAAGACCAAGACCAAGACTGGCTAAGTCTCGTCTTGTTCTTGCATTTGGGCAACACTAAATCAAAGCATCCACGCGATACTTATCTCGGAAACCAGGTTAAACCCAACTTTGCCTTCTATTTCTCACGGATTACCAGGCTTTATTTTACTTCGTAAAGATTGCATTGATAAAAGAGGAGGTGGTGTAGCAGTATTCCTGCGAAGTGGTATTCCTTACAAAATTTTATCAGCCTCACCTTCACAATGTACTGGATCACTTGAATATATTTTTTTAGAGATTGTTATTAGTGGAAAGAAGGTTATGTTTGGTGCAATTTATTGTCCACCTAATTCCAGTTATTTATGTGAATTTGAAGAGGCACTTCTTTCAGTTTACTCTGATTATCAACATAATATTTTAATTGGTGACTTTAACACAAATCTTCTAAGTGATACCCGTAGATCGCGTGGACTGCGTTCAATTATTGAATCCGCAAATTTTTCAATACTTCGACTTGACACCACCCATCACAATCTTACTACTGAGTATACTTTGTTAGATTTGATATTAGTCTCCTCAGAAGAACGTGTTACGTGCCACGGACAGTTCCCTGCTCCTGGTTTTTCGAGACATGATTTACTGTTCATTTCCTATAAAATCAAACCACCCAAAGTAAAGCCAGTAATAGTGAGTCTGCGTAATTTTGCTAGGCTAAATGTAGGAACGCTCCAGCATAATAATTCGCTTTTAGACTGGAGCGATACATTTAATGCAGAGAGTATTGATGACAAAATTACGACATTTAACTCTAATATTCATAACCTATTTGACAAACACGCACCTATTCGTGAGGTTAGGTTAAAGCGCTCGCCTGCGCCATGGATTACTGAAACTATCCGTAAGGCCATGTCTAAGTGCGATCAGATGCTTAGGAAATTCAAGTAGAACCATTGTGAACTCAATTGGACAAAATTCAAAGCTGCGAGAAATCGATTTAATCAGATGGTACGAGCTGCTAAACGCCGCTATATTCACTATAATATCATGAACTCTTCTATGGCTGATACATGGAAATTTCTCCGCACGATCGGGGTCGGTAAACCTACGTGTAACGTGGACCCTGCAATCATTTCTTTAAGTGATCTAAACTTACATTTTTCTTCAACTACCCAAATGGAGGCTTCTGTTAAATCAAGTACTATTTCTTATTTGAATTCCATGCCACAATCTCGTAACTGCACAAATAATTTTTCTTCCGTTGCTAATGAGGATATAAAAACGATCATCTATTGTATTAAGTCTATAGCAGTTGGCTTCGAAGACGTGAATAGACTCATGATCACCTTAATTCTAGACAATGTTAGGTACTCCTGTTATTACTTACATCATTAATCATTCACTATTGACTGGGGATTTTCCTACACTTTGGAAAAAAGCATTTGTTATTCCGCTGCCCAAAATAAATAACCCCAGTTCTTTCTCTCACTTTTGCAAATAAAGTAAAGTTCTTGAAGCTATTGTCTTCAAACAAATTTCTTGTTACATTTTCAAAAATAATTTTCTTAGCACATTTCAATCTGGTTTTAGGCCTGGGCACGTTACAACCACAGCTCTTTTGAAAGTTACAGAAGGTAATGGAATGGAGAACTCAAAATTGACTATTAATCCTTAAAAGATTTCTCTAACGCTTTTAACGCTGTCAATCATGATATTTTTCTAATTGTACTTTGTAACCTGGGTTTCTCTTCGTCGGTGCGGGACTGGTTCTCCTCGTATCTTCGAGGTCGTCAGCAGGTTATTCGAGTAGGTCAGATCGTCTCTGATTAGTGCTCGTTGTCTGCTGGTGTTCCTTAAGGCGGAATTCTCTCTCCTCTCCTGTTCTCAGTCTTTATAAATCTCATTACATCCGATATTCGCTTGTCGTACCATCTGTATGCTGATGACTTACAAATTTATGTTCAAACTGAGGTGGCAGGTATCGACGATGTGATTAAGAAGCTTAACTGCGACCTTAACTGTATTTATTATTGGTCAGACAGATTTGGTATTGGGTTAATCCATCAAAGTGTTAGGCTATTGTGGTTGGTAGTTCTCGTAGATGGCCTAAAATTGATATTATTAAATATGATTTTATATAAAATTGATTTTAATAATGTTACTATTCCTTACTCAACAACTGCACTTTGCACCCACAATATCTTCCCTGCTTAGCCTGGAGGTAGACTGGCAGAGAATGCCTTTTGCATTAAATCTGCCTTTTAGTACTCGGTGTGCAAATAAAGCATAAATAAATAAATAAATTCAGTTTCATACCATCAATTATTAAGTGGTTCTTTGTTTGATCAAGCATTTTAGTATCTACAAGTAGCATTTTGTAATTTGAAGTACTTCATTAAAACTAATTGAGGTGGAAGACTGTCACACTTAACCATCAATGAGGCAAGTGTGACAGTACGCTTCTTTTTGTAAAGTTATCATCCTTGTTTAACAAAAACAAAACACATTGGGGTTTTCTTTTATTTTGGTCTACATAATGTTTATAATACAATACTTTTAACCGAACATTCTATTCAATATTCTGTACGCCTAACATAGTATTGCCATTTTTTCTTCTCGTAATATCGCACTATTACAGTATTATTTTATTCTAAAATCAAATTGTACTTGTATATTTCTTCTATATCTGTTACGATAGCATTTATTATTTTTGCTTCCTCCTTTTTTTATTATTTTTCCATCCTCTCCTTTATTTATTATTTTTCCATCCTCTGACATTTTTCTTTGACATATATTTATTCCTTTTTATTAATTTAAATACATATAAATCGCATTCGCCTTTTTTGAAAGTCTGTTAAAAATGATAGGCTGTCCCATCACTATAATTACGATATTATAGTTTATAGTTACGCTATTCTCATATAAGAAGATCGGGTTAAGCGTGGCGCTGTCACACTTACCCCGATTATGTTATTATATTACCTATAGAGTTTTGGCGGAAACCTGGCCGACGACGGACTGTCGCTCCTGTTTTGTCGCTTGAATAATGGTTTGAAGTGGATTTTAATTTGTAAAAGTGATGTGATTTTGTGAAGAAATTATCTGCGCGTGTGAACTATTAAAGAAAACGACGAAACAAGTGCTTTGATGTTGATGTAAACCTCAAGTTAACTTGATCGCCTGGGCGCCTTATGAACTTGAGTGGCTGTCGTCATCAACTGTCCGCTGGGTTGAGCTGTCGTCAAAATTTCCCAAAAACTTCGCAATGTGACGCATCAGCATATTGTGAAGAAAAAAATATATAAAATGAAGATTCTGAAAGAAATGATAGGCTCAGAAGGGCTAGTACCTAGAGCCGTAAAATAAAAAAAAATATTATATTAGTATATTATATTATATTACTTAGGTATTAGGTGAGGTAAGTGGAACTGTATCCGTTTTAGGAGGTCTAGTGGATTTCAGGTGATAGAAATTAGAAACATATTACTCTACGAGCACTAATATTATTCTTTATCACTCACCTTGTATCTGATTTAATATAACTTAATAACATGTCGAAACACTTAATAACTTCATCTCATAAAATTGCGCGGTTTGTCGCCAGTGGAGTAGTTTAAAAAAATAACGTCTGCTGATTAAATAGTTGAAGCTATGTACTTGACTGTCAGTATAGTCAATAGTGTCCAATTTCCTGCGTTGTTTAATAGATGGAATTTAACCAAATACCGTGTTTAGGCTGTATAGTTTGCATTAACTGTTACACCTACCCCACTGTCACACTTGCCTCGGGTGACCAATATGTATATACAAAATTAAAAACGATATTACCTGTTTCTAAACTAAATTATAAAATTTAAATTGGCAGGCTAACTCGATCATACCGCCTCCGTACTCTTGCGCGAGCAACTACGAGGAGTGTGGCGCTGGGTGCGGCGCGGGGTGTGCGGGGTGTGCGGGGTGCGCGCGGGCGGAGGTGCGCAGCACAACGCGCCGCGAGCTCTCTGCCGCTTTCCGCAAGAACCTCATCGCTTCACCCGTGGAGCCGCTAGTGAGCATCGCCACGAACAATAATTCATACCGCACTGAACATTCATTATAAAACTACACTTTTGATAAAAACACTCAAACCAACAAAGACGATGTAAAAACCTTTGCAGTAATATATACTACTTAATAGACAACGTGAACAAAATATGTGCGGTGGTGTACAAAGTATATTTAATAAGAAAAGTATCTATGGAATTTATCGCGCTTAATTACTTTAATTTATTTTTACTATCCCGACGTTTCGGGTGCTTTACAGCACCTATGTTCACGGGGGGGACAGAGGTGTTTGACGTCTTAATTGTCATAGTTAGTCAGGCTACCTTCATCATCATCATCATCATCATCACAGCCCTTCACAAGTCCACTGCTGAACATAGGCCTCCCCCAAGTAATGCCACAAAGCACGGTCCTGAGCCACCTGCATCCATCGACTTCCTGCATATCTTACCAGGTCGTCACTCCATCTAGTGGGGGGTCGCCCTACACTACGCCTACCGGTACGAGGCTGCCACTCGAGAACCTTTCTTCCCCATCGGTTATCGGTTCTTCGAGCTATATGGCCGGCCCATTGCCACTTCAGCTTACTAATCCGTTGGGCTATGTCGGTCAATCTGGTTTTACTGCGGATATCCTCATTTCTGAGTCTATCACGCAGAGAAACTCCGAGCATAGCCCTCTCCATAGCTCGCTGAGCGACCTTGAGCGTCCTCATACGGCCAGCAGTGAAGGACCACGTCTCTGATCCGTAAGTCATCACTGGCAACACGCACTGGTTGTACACTTTAGTTTTCAGAGATTGAGGTATACCTGCCGAGAAGATATGTCGTAATTTCCCGAACGCTGCCCAGCCGAGTTGAATCCGTCGATTGACCTCTCGGTCGAAGTTGGACTTACCTAGTCGGAATATTTGTCCCAGGTAAACGTACTCGTCAACAACTTCGAGCATAGTGCTTCCAACAACTACCGGCATAGGTGTGACATGGACATTAAACATAATCTTTGTTTTGTCCATGTTCATCTTAAGACCTATCCGTTGGGAGGCACTATTGAGGTCATTGAGCATAGTGCTTAAGTCCTCCAGCGATTCTGCCATAAGGACTATATCGTCGGCAAATCGAAGGTGAGTGATGTACTCGCCATTGATGTTAATACCGTATCCTTTCCAGTCCAGTAGCTTGAAAACGTCTTCCAAAGCAGCGGTGAAGAGTTTCGGGGATATAACGTCACCCTGTCTTACACCTCTCTGCAGTTGGATAGGTTTCGAGCTCTGGTTCTGTACTCGGATAGCCATCGTAGCCCTACTGTACAAACACTTCAGCACTTCGATATACCGACAGTCAACTTGGCACCGCTGAAGGGACTGCAGCACCGCCCAAATTTCGACGGAATCAAAGGCTTTCTCATAGTCCACATACGCCAGGCAAAGTGGCAAATTGTACTCTTCAGTCTTCTGTACAATCTGCCGCAGGGTATGTATGTGGTCTATGGTACTGAAGCCTATTCGGAAACCGGCTTATTCGGGAGGCTGGAAGTCGTCGAGTCTGCGTGCGAGACGATTCGTAATGACTCTCGAAAACAGCACGTAGACGCGGCTCAGAAGGGAAATCGGTCTGTAGTTCTTCAAGAGAGCGTTGTCGCCTTTCTTAAAGAACAAGACCACCGCACTTCTGCTCCACGCCTCCGGAGTAGTGCCACCATGGAGGACGGAATTGAAGAGCTTCTGAAGGACTTCAAGTACCGGTGTTCCACCCGCTTTCAGAAGCTCCGCTGTAATTCCATCCTCGCCTGGGGCCCTGCCGTTTTTAAGGTGCTGGAGAGCCATTCTAATCTCGCTTAGACTGACGTCCGGGATATCATCGGAATAGTGTCGGATAAGACTTGCTCTTGGATCGTTACTCACACTTGCGTGTGGCTCCAACGATGATGTGTACAGCTGCCCATAGAACCTCTCAATCTCACTCAAAATCTCAGGTGTCCCGGAAACGATGCTGCCACACTCAGTCTTCAGCCTTGACAGTTGGCTCTTTCTGGCAGACAGATCTCTGGCAAAGACTTTGGAGCCCTGGTTCCGCTCGATCGCTTCTTTAATACGAGCAGTATTAAAGTTGCGTAAGTCTCGCCGTATGCATTTGGAGATCTGTCTGTTCAGTTGCCTGTATGCTGTCAAATCTGTTGACGATTGCAGCCTCATCTCCCCGTCTAACAGCCATGAGATTAAGAGTGTGATCGGAGAGTTTTTTGTGTTCTTCTGCGGCGGGTCTTGCAGAACTTAGCTCCGACCGCATGGACAGTTTCCACGAGCTTGTCATTCATATCGTCCACTGCATTGCAATCTTGTAGGCACTGAAAGCGGTTGTGTAACTCGAGCTGAAAGTTTTCGGGATTTTGGATCAGAGCACGAGGGGGACGGAGCGTTGACTTCATTAGACGAGACCTCTCCAACTTAACGTTTAGGTTCAGTGTGCCTCTAACCATTCGGTGATCGCTGCCAGTTTTCACCCTTGCGATCACTGAGACATCACTGAACAGTTGGCGTCTGGTCGTCATAATGAAGTCAATCTCATTTTTTGTCGAACCGTCGGGGCTCGACCAGGTCCACTTCCTGTGGGGCCGCTTCTGGAAGAAAGAGTTCATCATAAAGAGTCCCTCTTTCTCCATAAAGTCGGCCAGCTGCTGGCCCCTTCGGTTCCGTTGCCCTACTCCAAATTTCCCTAACTTCAGCTCACCGTTTTCTCTTGTGCCTAGTTTTGCGTTGAAGTCTCCCATCAACACCGTGTAGTGGGTTTTGGAGGAATGTATGGCTTTGGAAATATCCTCATACATTTCCTCCACCTCCTCATCGGAATGTGCCGACGTTGGTGCGTAAACCTGTATGACCTTCAGCGAATACCGTTTGGTGATTCTGAGTATCAGGTACGCGACCCTCGTCGACACACTCTCAATCTGTACAACGTTGTTGACGAGAGACTTGTGGACGATAAATCCGACACCTCCTTGGGACAGATGGTCGCCCTCCCGGTGATAGAACAAGTTGCCAGATTCGAGAATCACCGTGTCCTCCCCCTCTCTTCGGACCTCGGATAATCCTATAATACTCCAGCGCAACTTGTCTATCTCTTCTTCCAGCTCCAGGATCTTCTCGTCAGTCCTCAGTGTGCGTGCGTTAAATGTTGCCAGGTCGAGTCGTCGTAGGTGGCAACCGAACCTCCACCGGAGATTCTTAGCACCCCCTGCCCCGCCGTTACCATGGTCGCCACCGTAGCCAGGAATAGCGGGGCCGCCGGGGACTGGAGGCCGTCTATTTGTGTATAGACGGCCCCCAGTCCCCCATAGTTGCCACGCTTGGCGAGCGGGTTGGCAACCGCAGTTTTTTTTTGTCGTACAGTTGCTGTTATCAGGAAGATGCTGCTGCCCATCTCCTGTCTGTCTCCCTCTGTCGCCTCTTACGACACCCACGGGAAGATATGGGGTAGTGGATATTCTTAACCGCCACTACACGGCAAGGCTACCTTCAGTTTTTGAATATTAATTTTTTTGGTCCGATTTACGCAAAACGAGCTTATAGTATTGTTTAGAGGTTAGAGTTCGTGACAATAAAAACGGCCGATTGAATTACCAAAATTAACACTTTAGTTCACTTTACACTAATTAAAACTTAAGACACTAATAATTAATCACACTGATTCACTTTATTTCGCTCCGAAGCTTCGCTTGTCTCGCCAAATTCAATACTGCCCCGATCGCGTATGGCAGCGCCTTTAAATACACCTTTTTCACCGAAATATCCAGAATATCCAAGTCAATACGCGCGACAACCGATCAGGCGCCGAAAGTTTGAGTGTGAGGCTTCTAGATCTCTTAGTTCTTCAATTCGATACTAGATGCCGCTGTTGGTTGAAAGATTAGTCATGTCATTTTCTGAAAAGCTCTCCTCGCTCTGTTACCCGACACTAGATGGCGCTAGTGCCAGACGTCAACTTAGGCGCGCAACACTGCCCCCTCCTAAGACATGCTTGTACCGAGCATTTCGGCCCTATAATAATGCGTCAGGCGATCCACATGGATGATCTTAGGAGTCCCTCTTGCGCCTTTCTGTATCCGGTACGTTACATCATTGATCCTGGTCACAATCCGGTACAGGCCATCCCATTTAGCTTGAAGCTTAGGAGATTTCCCTTTGCTGCGGACTGGATTGTGCAACCACACTAGTGAACCTTCGTCGAACCCTTTGTTGTTAATTTTGCGGTCATACCGGGTTTTCATCTTTTCGGACATTTCCTGGCCCGATTGTCTGACGTGCTCATAAACGTCATTCATTTTGTTCCGCAAGTCATTTGCATAATCGGTTATACTGCGTGGGGCATCAGGTGGTATCCCGGTGATCAGGTCTGCAGGCAGCCGTAATTCTCTTCCAAATTTTGCGAAAGCTGGTGTCACTGATGTACTTTCGTGAACAGCGCTTCGATATGACAACAAAAACGGTTGTATGTGCTTGTCCCAATCTCGTTGCCGATTGTCTACAACTTTTGCTAGGTACCTCTCCAGTGTCTGATTAAATCGTTCTACCATTCCAATATAAGAAGTCGTTCTTGTTTTATGAGTACCCATAACTCGGCAAGTTTCCTGGAATATTTGAGACTTAAAATTCCTTTCTTGGTCGCTGTGAATCTCTAAAGGTACTCCAAAACGACAGAAGACTTCATGAACTAGTTTATCTGCAACTGTTGAAGCTTCTTGATTTGGAATGGCGAAGACTTCTGGCCACTTAGTGAAGTAATCCATCTCAACCATGAAATACTTGTTACCGCTTTCACTCTCCGGAAACGGCCCCGCCACGTCAATGGCTATTCTCTCCCATGGTGCACCAACATTGTACAACTTCAATGCACCTCTACTACGAGTCTGATGTCCCTTTACAGCCGCACAACTTGTACATTTGCGACACCAGTCCTCGACATCGTTTCGACAGTGGACCCAGTAAAACCATTCTCGGATCTTCAG